GTTGTAGCTATTGTGAAAAATCCTATGAACACGGGTATTGACAAGAATCACGTCCTTGACCAAAGTCTAGCCAGGCTCCTCTGAACTCTCTTCTCAAGTAGGCCTCAACCTTGACCTATACTAACATATGATAACATAGCTTCTAGTAAGTCAGGCCACATCCCTAGATAATCCTAGACCCTCTTAAAATGCCTCCCCGAGTAAACTCAAGGCTGACAAAAGAACTTGCTATTTATTGCAGCCAATATGAAAGGATAGTGTTTCTGTTTCCCAGGGAGGGTAGGAGCCTCACTTCAATAAGTGCCAGTTAGCAAACCCAGATGGGTTTCACATGGACCCCCCCCACCCCCCACACACACACACTTCCTGCTTGGGAATTTTTCACTTCCCAGATCCCTCTGACCTCCTGTGCACCACCACCGCATTTCCTCATTGTCCCTTAAAGTGCCCAGTCACAAACTGTAGTTGCGTTTAGTTCCCAGTGGACTCTTTTCCCTAATGCAATAGTTATGACGGATTCAAATCTGCACTTAGCACTTTAGTGTCTGGCTTTGTTTATCGTTGACAATTATCCAGCACCGTGACTCGGATCTGGATTGGAAGCACCATCGAACCCCTGGTTGTGACAGCCAGGCCTTTCAACATGCAGAGGCCCTTGTCTAATCTCTCGTCTGATGCTTGTTTGGGTACTTGGTGGTGAGTACAGCTCCGATTCCCCAGACAAATGTCTGAAGCACCGGGAAGACAGATTTTGATTCTTGCAATTCTGAGTAGACTCTCTGAAGCTGGGTCAGCGTTCCAGGCCTCTTTGAAAAGGTATCCCCTAGAGCAGTGATGGCAACCCTATGACACACGTGTCAGAGGTGACACGTGAACTCATTTTCTTGGTTGATTTTTCTTTGTTAAATGGCATTTAAATATATACAATAAATATCAAAACTATAAGTCTTTGTTTTACTATGGGTGCAAAGATCAAAAAATGTCTATATGTGACACGGCACCAGAGTTAAGTTAGGGTTTTTCAAAATGCTGACACGCCGAGCTCAAAAGGTTCGCCATCACTGCCCTAGATTCTGGGCTAGAATCCTTCGGGGCTCCCTGTTTCCAGCGAGGATTGGCTCCCAGGCTGGAATTTTTGTTTCCTGGCTCTTTGTGAGGCCTCTTTGTTCTATCTGAGTCAGTTCCTCCATGAGAACTTCTCAATCGACTGAAACCTCCCTTCTCGAGCTCCTGCTGACTGTACGTCACCGTGGTGCTGCGTCCATTTCTTAGATCGTCTGACTTTACTTAGGAACTTTTGTGGCTCTTGGGAAACTTAAGATCTCCTCAAACTATCTCCTTCAAGACCTCTCCTTTCCCTCACCCCAACCCCTCTTTCCTCCTTTACCACCCGCCATCTTCCCTTTAGCTCCCTTACATCCTCTGAGATGTCCAAGAAAAGATACTTAATTTTCCCTAGGTTATATTTGTATGGTAAAACGTTATTATTTCAGAAATTGTATACTTCATAGAAATTTATCAATGCCACCGCTACCCATAATATTGTCTTGGTAAAATGTTAGTAATGAAGTTATTATTTTAAAATGTGTATGTCACAGAAACAACCAGATGTCCTTGCCCATTGTGTTATTTTCAGAGTGAACTTTCATCAGATCTTTAACTATGGTCACTTTAACTAAATCTTTTGCTACCCACAGATTGTTGTTTTACTCTGCGGCTTTCCTAAAGGATTTTGCAACCAGCTACAGGCCAGACCACTTGTGTTGAACAAAAAGGGCCTGTCTTGAAGATTCATGAGAAAGGACCGTGCCAAGTGCTCAGGGATACAGGCTTCTCATGGCATTGCTTAATAACTTTGAAATCAAACCAAAAAACTAAATCAGAATTTCTAAAAGCCAGTGGGTTCATAAAACTGCTAACCCAAGACTAAGTAGAATACAATTAATTACATGGGATTGAGTAAACTGATAAAGAATGACTATAACTTTTTATATATTTTGTTTGAAATTTTGCTGGCTCTTAAATGCTCTGTTTTCCAGATGTAAGAAAAGCCCGTTCTGTTTTCTCTTCAGCTATCTATGACTCATAAAATCCAGTAAATTTTACTTTCATAAACAAAGTTAAACTATTATGGAGTATTCTTATTTTCCTAGCAAAGTAGTTATTTGTTCATTGTTTTTGAGGTTTTGTTCAGTAAGAATCTGTCCTCTTTGCCATAGATCATAGTTGAAAACACCAGTTATATTATGAAAGCTTTGACTGGAATGTCATGTTTGATAATGATGCTTAAAGTCAGACATGACCAGACAAATTTCAAGGAACTACGGTTGACGCTTTGGAGCCACTGCTTACAAAGCCCTCTTGAAAAAACCGGCTGGTATCTGGCTTAAGAGCTGAGAGACTTAGGTAAGTAAGGTAACTTCCTGGAGAGTCCAGGAAGCGCAGGGTATTTTGGTGACCTTGAGAAGAGAGGAGTTCACCCGCTGAAGTTCATGAAGCCTGAAGGAGGAGTCTTGGCTTGACTTCCTAGCACTTGAGAAGCTTTTAAAGCCCAACATCAGATTCCTTATAAAAACTTCCATAAAGAGAACTTAAAAGGCCTGTACATTCCTCATCTCATCCTCTACTCGTTAAAAGGGAAGGAAAGCCCTTCTCCCATTGAATCTCTCACCAGCATATCACTGTTTTCGGCACGCAGCTTGTTTTCCCAGCCAGACTGTGAATTCTGAAGGCAAAAATGCACTCTCATCTACATCTAACACCTTCCCATTAAACCATCATTAATGGGTATAGAATAGCTACGTGTTGAACGGCTGTTTATGTCTCAGTGCTTACAATTTCTTTCCTTATTTGACAAAGTGAAGAAATGAAGACAATACCTTGTTCAAAAGCTCTGCTCAAATCGTCAGTCAATTCTTCCTGTTTAGCTGCAAGAGAAAACCATTATCTTAATTTTTCTATTCGGATAGGCTCATGACGTGAAGACAAGGCTGCATTCCAGAGAGGTAGGGATGTTACAGGTCTAACCTCCAGACAAAATTGGTTTCAGTATACTCAAGGGAGAAAAAAAAAATCCCTGAATCATTTATATTCATTTTTCACTTAACCCGGAAATGAACTCAAAATAGCAATAAAATGCATTTGGTGGTATTTTATCTTTTACCTCTGACAACAGATTCAAACTCGTTAATGGCAGCTTCACTTTGAGCTTCTGCGAGTTTTTCATTGATATCCATTATTTCCATGAGGAATTGGTTGTCCATTTTATAATCTGTTCCTTCAGGAATCTCTACTCCATGGAGCTTTAGCTATTGGGGCATAAAGCAGGCGAAATAAGTTTTGTTCAAGAAACCGTGGCCAACATCATAAATCCTGCTCACCCTTCTGAACAGAATACCACTCGGGGAGAACTTGGACTTTCCTGATAATGAAAGTGCGAGGGCAGCGTGTTGGAAACTTAGACTGGGAAAGGAATGCTTGGATGGGGTACTTTTCTGCTACTTAGAAGCGTGTGACCCTGGGGAGTCACTCCTTCACTTGTGAGTTTGAACTAAATGTCTGTGAAGATTCTATTAAATCCTAACATTCGAAGGTATTCACCTCTGCCTTCTCCTCAACACCCCCAAATTACTTTCCTAACAGCCATCATCCTCCAATCCTTGAAATTTATAAAAAATGTTTTGTTTTTTTAAAAAAATGCAATTGGGCAAGTAAGATTTACAGGTACTATGCAGAGAAAACTAGACTCCTGTAGTATCTTTGGGTCCCAGGGCTGACTGACTCAGGGCTCAAGCACTCGTTTGACAAATATAAGGAGTAACTGCCCCTCAGTGCAATGAATACCAGGTAAGTCACACATACAAGGGCTGGAACATCACCTTACAAGGTATAGTCCCCTGCTCAGGGGGGCCAGAAGGGTCTTATAGGCATCATTCACCAGGGTCGAATGCTTCTCTGAGAAGTCCTTTTCAGTCTGTGAGGGGAGATGAAGATAAGTCTTATTACCATGCAAGTCAGCCATCTTACAAGAACACACTGTTTCATAAAATACTGATGGGCAGGAACCTAAGGACATGGCCAAAGTAGAACCGCGAGATGAGCTGCATTTATTTTTCAACTGATGGGTTCTAATTCTGCCGAACAGGCCCAGGGCCTGGCTGGCTAGGGTCTGGTTGTCACAGGGTGGAGCTAGCTGTCCAGCTCTGTCCCTGATAATCAGTCACCGCCAGACCCCTGCCACCCACCCGGCATGCACATGTGTTTGGGGATGATTAAGAGCGGCCAATAGACTACCTGAGACCTCTGGCCGAAGAAATCTGGGTGGACAAGACGTTGTAGCTGCTGGTACCTATGCTGGAGCTTTGCAGTATCAACATTGAAGGAACGTTTGCTGGAAGGAAATCGGGAGATGAAATTCATGCATCAAATATGAATAGATTTGTATACTATGGGCCTCGTTCCTGTTCCCAGGGAGGAATAGGCAATAAACATGCAACAGTGATAATTTCCAAAAGTGTTAGATTCTGTGAAGAAAAAAACAGAACAGGGTCAGAGAGTGGGGTACATGTGGTGGACAACGAGCTGCATTTGAGCTTCGACTTGAATGATGATGAGTCATCTAAGACCCTGGGCAAGTCATCCACACAGAGGAAACATGCTAGTTTGGCACCGGGAGGAACTTAAAAGGTTACTTTTGTTGCTGCAGCCCATCCTAAGTGCTCAATGACTGCTTGAACCGATAATTACTAGTATATCTCAGTGCTTACAATTTAATGGTGGCCCCGAGTTAAGCGGAAGGGGCATTGCCGAATCCCACCCTATCGTTCCAAGGCTACGGTCCCTTCATCTCAGTCACCCACCTTGTTTCTTCCCACTGGGGATGTGCCCGCAACCAAGGTACATGCCCTTGACTGGAATCGAACCTGGGACCCTTCAGTCCGCAGGCCGTCGCTCTATCCACTGCGCCAAACCGGCCAGGGCTCACCCACCTTGTTTTCATCCAATCCCCTTTGCTTTCCACCCCCAGATCCTGCCCTATAGAGTCAGCTGAGCTCTGCCCAAACTGCACCACCACCTCTCCAGGCTCCTCAATCTTCGGAAGAAATGAGGAAAAACACCCATTTCTCAGATCCCCTCCCTAATTCTCACTTTTCCAAACTTAGACTCCACCCACAATATATTTCCCCCTCACCCCCCGTTTTTACTCCCTTATCTTGGATCACACCCCCGTATTCCTTTCTTAAAAGCTTCAACCCAAATTTAATCGTTCTGACCCCATCCCTCAAGTAACCCTGCCCTGGGCCCCGCCCCTCGAGTCTCCCTCCGGCCCCCCCATCTCCCCTAACTTTATTCCCGCCCCCCCAGTCCTCCCTTCACAGACATCTCCATCCCTGAAAGCCCTTTCCTCGGGCCTGCCCTTTAATTTCCTCTTTTTCGGTCACACCCGACCCTCCATTTCCCCAGGCCCCCACCGCCCGGTCTCTAGGGTCCCGCCCACCTCTCTAACCGGTGCCCCCGTCTTCTCTAACCTGATCGGCCCTTCCCTCGCCCACGCCAGCTCCCGACGTCTCTCTCGCCCAGCGCGTCCCCCGAAACCGCCTCCCGTACCAGTCCATGAGGCTGAAGTGGTCTCGAGTGGGGTCAGGTGGCTGCAGCGCCCGGGCCTCCTTCCGAGGACCCCGGGCGGCCACAACCCCCACACCCGGGGCAAGGCCCCGGCCCTCCCGCCCCACATCTGGCCCGCGGCCTATTTCGCCGCCGGTCACCTGTCCGGGGTGAAACGGACGAGAGCCGCGGACAAGGCTACGCTGCTGATTGGCTGGAGAGCTGAAAGGGGCAGGATCATTCCGGGAAAACCTGGATTCTGAGTCCCGCTCTACGTTTTAAACTACAACTCCCAGCAAGCAGCGAGGCCACGCTTGGACGGCCACTTCCGCTGCTCCTCATTGGTCCGGCAGAGGCGGAGGGGTGTTTTGATTGGTTGAGGGTGGAGTTTGTATCTGTTTAGCCGCCACGCCGCTAGCTGTAGCGGTAGCGAGTGTGTGGCTCCAGGTGGGCTCACGCGGTGAGTGTTAGTGGGGGAATGTCCCTTGTGCGTCCGAGGGTTCGAATCCTGTCTTTAGTGTCTTAGTGCGAGCTGAATTTCCCAAGTGTCTTCTTTTTGAGCTCGGGCCGGGGGGGGGGGGAGGAGAGCAATGCGTGGGCGACTCTCTTCCTTCTTTGTTGATGAACTTCCAGGTGAAGTTCATTTCCCCTGTTTGCTTACAAGCTGGAATCGGCTCAGACTTGCAGGCTAAGCAGCAACAAAGCTGAGTTCTTTCTGTAAGTGTTAATAATTATTACCGTACGTTAGGTTCAATCTCAAAAATACCTCTTGAGAACTCACTCTTAGCCGCTAGGCATTGCAGGAACTGGAAACACACCCACCTGTGTTGAAGGATTTTCTGCAAAGTGTCCCTAAGTTAAGGGTGTGGAATGGGGTGGGGAGGAAAGGGCAGGAGAGCACCAGCCCTCCGTGGGACTAGGTTACTGTATTTGAAAAAGAAATTGTGTTGCCCTTGTTAAGTGCTGCCGGATTCCTTAGGACTGGAATTCTGTTCTCCCAAATCATCAAGCATTGCTGGGGAGGAGCATGCATGCACCTTCTCATTTAATCCTCAGTATCCACTTGTAGCAAATAAGGTTCCTCGAGGTTGTGATCTACCTGAAGGTCATGCAAAGATCTGACTCCAGGCCTATTTGCCTCGAACTACTTCACTGTGTTTTCGCATGGCTGTGGCCAGTGTGGTTCTCACCTGATTTTTACCCTTATTTCTCATATACGATGATAGCTACCTCTTGACACACTGTCTTTTTTTTTTTTTGCCAGTTTTCAGGGTGGAGAAGTTTTGCTCCAAAACTGCAGACGACGGGCACAGCCCGATTGAGGTAGCGTTAGTGCAGCCCGAGTGGCAGACTCCTCCCTGGCATCACCGTCCTGGTGTGCTTTAAGGAAAACTCCTCAGGACCTCTGTATCTGGAAAGCTGTGTAAACGCAGTTAGTGTGAGTAAAGCTTACTGTGTCCTCCTCCAGTATAGTCTGAGTGTTGGGATCAGGAGAGAAAGTGTCTTTAAAAAAAGAATCAGAGTGGGGATTTCAAGTTAGGGGTTGAAAGTTCCTTTGACTCTATTGTAGGTTTGGTTATCAGAGTTCAACTGTCCATCAAGTTAATGCTAAAGCCAGGGTGGGGAACCTCTGCTAAGGTCTTCTGTGGCTCAAAGAATGGTTCCTGCAAGATCCTGAAGGGCTGGCAGGCCTTTTAGGGTGCTGAAAAGATGAGCCTCTTGTTACTTAGCATCACAAAAGGCGAATGGGGTTGTTTATGGCCGGTTTCTTTGTGTTCTGCCTCATTCTGTGGCCCAGCACTTAGCTGTTGAGGAATCTCTCTACTCAACCCACAGAACTTGGTCCTTACCTTCCTGAGCTGGTTTGGGGGAGGAGGGCCATCAGTGACCTTTTAAGTGAATATCCCCCCTGGAACGGTGCAGCAAGTGAGGGTCTCTTTGCCCATCTTCTACCCCAAATCACCAGCCCCTTCTCCTTTCTCTTTCGAAACATCTATGACATTTAAGTGTAGTGTTGATTTGTATGAACTGCATTTTAAAGATTGGGCAGATATAAGCTGTTATAAGTCTCTTCCCCCTCCTCAACTCAGTTTCATAGCTCTTTACTTATAGCCTTCAAGTCATTTTTTTATTTCTTTCCTCTGTGGCTTGTGGCTCTCGGACGAAAAGCTGATCTGGTGAAAGTGAGCTGAAGAAAAGCTCTGCCCAGAAGAACTGTATGTCTAGACTGTTAGAAATTTAATTTTTGCGGAGCATGCTTGCCCTGGATTTTTTGTCATTGTAATATGCTCATCC